GCAGGTCAGTGATCAGTGTGTGATGGAGTTGGATGGATACTCTGAAAGTTGGGAGCACAAACTAGAGTAACAAGGAACTTGATTTTGCTCGAGTGTTGACTATGGTCAAGAAAAGAAGGGACTACAAGTTACAGGTGGAGTCATATGGAGTCTTTGGAGTAGCAGCGGTACTCATGGGATAAGCTCAAGTCCAATGTACATGGAAGTTTGACCCATTGACAAATTCAAGGTGGTGGAAAATATTCGCCAAGGTGGAGTTTGTTGGAGTTGTGTCGAATATTGTGTACAAGATAGGTTACAGTTGGACTATGAGTTGTATTGTGTTTACATAGGATGTGGAGTCGTGTCCTAGTAGGACACTTGTATCCTAGGCCTCTCATATATAGCGGGGTAAACACATGATGTAACCTATGCCAACATAATAGCACAGGCGTGCAATTAGGAGCCAGCGGCGTGTGCCATCCCCCGGATGGCCGGTGTGCGGTATTGTGACGGTGTCACGGGGAGGAGCGTCCATAGTCATGCCCCGGGGATGTAGCCATATCGGTGAACCTCGTTAACAAATCTCGATGTCGTGCCTCGTGTGATTGCTTGGTCCTCAGATGATCGACGGTAGGCCTCGAATTTATTCTAACCGGGGGAGTAAGGTAGTACAGAATATTTGAGAGACCAATGATGCATGGTTGGCATCATGCAGTGCAAAACATCTGTACATTAGAAACATATGTGACAAATGAGACGGCTTTGATCTAGCACAACGTAAATGGCAGGATGTATCGGACAAATTTGAGAAGCATGATTCAAGTACGGCAGTACATCTATGGCAGAAGCATATATATACACAGGATACATCGGAAGTTCGGGGACACATGTTGATTGTCATATGCTTAAACTTGCAATGCAGTTTGATTGGTTAACTTGATACATTTTTTAGTTTGTTTTTCACCAAAAAAATCCGGCTATTGTTTTTTAGAAGCCGGATATTCTAAAAACCTATTAATATATAACATATATTTTAGTAAATTGTTTAGTATGTGTTTTATAAAAAGGTTCAGTGAAAGAAATATTTAGTGTGTATTAAAAATGTTCGTATATTGAAAAATGCTCAATGTGACTCGGATGGAGCAGTCATTTTCTCAACATATCGTTATCTTCTCTTTTGCAAAGACTAGAAGAACACCCGTGCGTTGCAACGGGGCCACATTAAATTTAAGAGTTCAATATTAATTATGTTAATATTACATTTAATATTCTCATACATATCAAGTGACATTGGCGATCTTTTTACCATCAAATTCTCACACACACTTTCTCCCTCCCTCCTCCTCACTCTCTCTCCCCTCTCCCTCTCTCTCTCTCTCTCTAACAGACACACATATCCATCTTATTGGGTACGGGACCATAATCCATCTATTTCACACGCACACGCGCTAGTGCATAACAATATGGATTATAAAACAGGTTCAAGGTAGTAACAAGGATTCTTCTCATGCATTAATAAACAAATGTTCTGCACTGAAGACAAGATAAACAATTCCCAAAGTGCATCAGAGCATCACAGAACATTACTGGCAAGATAAATGCACGATGTACCGGAACTGCTCGGATGAACCGGAACAGAGCCAACATATATCATCCTAGACAAACACATCATCAACCATTTACCTTGGTACTTTAGGGACCGACAGGAGGATGCATATAGAAGCGCTTATTGCCTGCGAATCCACAGTCAGAGAGAAATTGGAACCCATTCCCATCACCAACTGATAAAGAAAGCATGTAAGAAAATTGATATCGGGTCAACTTGGATCTTCGGTGATTGTCCGCCGGTATGGAGAATTTAGGAGGGTGGGTGCAGGGAGTGGCCTTGTGGATGATGGATGGAGGCGCGGAGGGATGTGGTCGCCGGAAGGTCGAAAGCGGAGAGGGTCGGGCACGTTAGGTGGAGCCGGTGGTGCACGACAACCGGAGGCGGCCCAATCGTGGGCCGCGAACCGATGATAGCCTCGGCCCATCTCTCGACGCAGCAAAGATAGAGAGGGCAGCACTGCCGGTTCTCGAGGTTGCCGCTCGGCACCATCTACATCGAGGGGAAAGAGAGGCGAGAAAGCGATAGGGTGATGCGGGGCTAGGGATTGCGGAGGAGGGTGGGGGTGTGCGATTTGAATGGATGGTTCTGCCCACCGTTTTCTTATACGTGGCGGTGGAGACGGCGGCGTCCAGCCATGCAGGCGAGGCATGGGTCGAGCCGGGCACACGGCGAGGCGCAGTAGCAGAGGCGGGGGCGATTTTTTGCTACTGAGATGCATGGTGTGGGATTGATTGTTCATGTTCTCTTTTCCTTTTTAACGGGAGATGGATGCAATTTTTTCACGAGGGGAGAGATGCGACCATGTACATATTCCATAATAAATTAATTAGGTCCATAACGGGAATTCTTTACAATGCGTTAAGATTTGCGTGTTAGTTTTCTTAATAAAGAAATGCACTGATGTAGGGATCGATTGATTCGGGTAAGGAAAGATAGATTCGTGCTCTTTTATATGTTAGGAAATTAGTGGTCTGCAAGGAAAGAGTGGAGAGAAAAAGAACCAATGCGACCACGTATAGATTCCATAATAAATTAATTAGGTCCATAACGGGATTTGTTTACAATGCGTTAAGATTTATGTGTTAGTTTTCTTAATAAAGAAATGCACTGATGTAGGGCGCGATTGGTTCGGGTAAGGAAAGATAGATTCGTGATCTTTTGTATGTTAGGAAATTATTGGTTTGCAAGGAAAGAGTGGAGAGAAAAAGAACCAGTGGAGGTGGGAGGAGGACAAAAATAAACCGTACAAGGCTATCAACTGCTCCATTAGGAGTAGAGATTGTTTGTGAAAATAACGTGCGACGACGACTTAGCGAGCGGATCCCCTTAAAAAAGACATAGCGAGCAGATTTCCTTAAAACTGGTAGGAATGGATACGATTGATGACGTTGATAAATAGTGGTGAATGTTGGCCTAATTTACTATCATCATGCATGGAAACGAATCATCAAGAAAAAAAATACTTCATATTACTACACTCATAGGAAGCTTCCTAATCTCTGCTACCAAACAGTTTCTGCCCAAACAAGGAAGGAAAGTTATGGACATGATTCGAAAGGAAACAAACGTTCTGAAGATTAATTAATTTAGATTTGATCTTTAGAGATTGATTGTGATTGATTCTTTTACATAAAGACATTACTAAATAATTTGCGTCAGTATGAAAAGTTTTGATCCGTTCAGTTTTTTCGTTCTGTGAGAGGGTGAAGTGAAAATAAACCGATGAAGTGGGGGAGGCGACGAAAAAAATCTATGATGGTTAACCTATGAAAAAAAACCGGACGAAAGTGGTGGGACGAAAAAAAACCTGAAAGCGAGACTACCAACTGCTTTATTAGGAGTAGAGATACGCTTGAATCCGAGATCGGCGTTGTTTTAGAAGGACTGGGAATGAGCATGCAACGGTCAAGGTTACCTATTGTTATTCAATCTGACCGTTTGCTGCATTGACGGACAACTCGTAGGATCTTTCAACTTATGGGCATCTAATACTGGATATCAAAAAGCTTCTGGAACCTCATGGGTTTATTCAGCAGAAAATTAAACATCGTTAAAATAGGGTTGCTCATAGTCTTGCCAATATTGACCGTACAGGAGGTAACACAGCTTGTTAGTTGCATCATGTTTCAGACAATGTTTCTACCTTTGTATTAGCAGACTGTAACACTATTATCGAGAAATAAAACCCACCATTCTCCTGCAAAAAATGTCTATCGTACACTAAAATGTTTAGTGTGAACATCGGAAAAAATTCGCCATATATATTGCAAAACCTATATAAAATTAAATATGCAAGAACGAAAAACCTAAGAAACCTAAGATCTGGAAAAATATAAAAAGAAACAAAAAGACACACATAATAAAAAGATAACAGTCAGAAAAGTCAGCGAAAACGGCGAGTGAACTGGGTGTCTGAAACTACGGTGTAGAAACAAATCTACCTCTACATTGGCACAAAAAATCAAATGATATAGAGCGCGCTATTTTTCGTTGCTTTTATTTCCCTGTCTAACTGACAAGTGGGGCTCGTACAGCGCAAAGGAAGAGTGCCAGACAGTCAGGCGAGTTAACAGCGACACGGAAATTGTATCAAATTGTGTTGTTAGATAAGTTATTGTACCATTTTTCTGGGGGGTTTTTAGTTTTTATATGATTCTGTTAATTCACTGCAAGTTCTTGTATTACCGGTGTAATTAACTCAAAAAAAAATGCCCCACTGCCACAGATAGAGCAACTGGGCGATTAAGTTCTCTGGATAAAGGCACTGAATGGACAACTACTCTGGAAAAACTTTGCAAAGGCCACAGCGCACTCACCATGTAACTATGTAAGATAAAATTAACATGGTGTAACCACAGACCATGATTCAATCAGTCAACGGCAAGGCCGTCGAGCCGAGCAGCATCGGCACGAACATGTTGCCCAGGCCTGTAGCACTCTAGCAACATTGATGGGGCCGACAAGCTGACAGCGGCCAAGTGGTGTTGTTTCGACGCCATAGCTCTTGTCAAACATTCCGTCGAGCAAGTCAGGTGCACAGAAGATTCAGCCGCGGGCAATTTGTACAGACACCACTTGACAGTGGCTTACGGTAGCGCCGGACGCCATGGCGGTGGATGGAGTTGCCGGAGTATACCGTGTGGGGATTTGTAGGCACGGAAGGGATCGCCAAAGTGACAGCCGTAGCCAGCAGTTAGGACGCAGTGCTACCGTGCAAACTAACCTTCCATCTCATATCCGGCGCTGTCAAGGCACGGCTACCGGAGATCGACCACCTGGTGGGCATTGCTGTTGAGGGAATGTCAAAATCGAGCACTGGGAAACAAGAACAGTCGACGGAGCAAAGAATTTAGGCAAATCAGAGAGATTTCTGAGATTTCTCTTAGCAACAAAGATTACATCGACACCATTAGCCGAACAACGAACACTGTTACATAGCATTTAACAGCCTACAGCAAACCTATGCATGTTTCTAAGCCTTGGTGGCCTTCTTCGGGGACTTGGTCGCCTTCTTGGGAGACTTGGGCTCCTTGCCCTCCTTCTCCGCCGTCTTCTTGGGGAGCAGCACAGGGTTGATCTTGGGGATCACGCCGCCGTGCGCGATGGTGACGCCGGCCAACAGCTTTCCGAGCTCCTCGTCGTTCCGGACGGCGAGCAGCAGGTGGCGCGGGATGATGCGGCTCTTCTTGTTGTCCTTGGCGGCGTTCCCGGCGAGCTCCAGCAGCTCAGCGGCGAGGTACTCGAGGACGGCGGCGAGGTAGACGGGGGCGCCGGTGCCGACGCGCTGGGCGTAGCGGCCCTTCTTGAGGTAGCGCCCGATGCGGCCGACGGGGAACTGCAGCCCGGCCTTGACGGACCGCGTCACCGACTTCTTCCTAGGGCCGCCGGCCTTGCGCCCGGCCGCGCCCTTCTTCCCCTTCGCTGCAGCGCCTGAGACCTCCATTGCTAAACGACGGCGGTTTTGGAGAAAAGCTGGAAGGGGGCAGAGAGATTTGGTGATGGTGGATTGCGGGGTGAGTTGGTGAAAATGGAGCAGAGGAGGCAGAGTATTTAAACGACGCGGGGAGACGGTGGTGGGCCCGTCGATCCGCGTGCGCGCGCATCGGACGGTTGGATCCAGAGCGGAATGGGCGGCCGCGATGGCCAAACTACCCTAGGCGTCTCGGATCGGTGAATGAAGGAGAAAGTGATAATGATAAGGTTGGAATAGTACTAGTATTAAATTCCGACGAAATTTGAGGGGGCTTTGTTGGAGAGTTGGGTCAGTTCACACAATGTTTGTAAAGATGTCCAGCTGACTGATGAAAACAACACTGTTAGATGGGAACTTACGATCATGGAATTTTACTGTTAGATCCACGTACAATATGTTGAAAGCAGTCCAAGAGGATTTTCCATTTAAGAACTTATGGTTTACCAAGGTGCCTCTCGAAATTAAAGCGTTCTTGTGGTTAATGTTTAAAAATAGCATTCTTACTAAAGACAATATGCTGGAGAGGGTTGGTCTGGTAGTGATAAGTGTGAATTTTGAAATGATAAGAAAAAAGTAAACAATCTTTTTTTTGCCTTTAGTTGATAGTTAGGTGTATGCTTGGAGTGTCATTAAATGTGCTTTCGGAGTTAATATGATGTTCAAGACTTAAGTGGATGGATAGCTGAGTTATCAACCGGTCAAGATTTACATCAACAAAGCCTCGAGAAGAGCTTGACTTTGCATTAACAAAGTCATTAACGGCTCATGCCATGGGAAAAATACAGAAATGGGCCTCACACCCAGCCTGTAAGCAGAGCACAAAATCGTGTAGTGTATAGCGTTTGTCAGTGACTCTAAGTCGGTTCCACACGTGAGAAATTTCAAATAACTTCAGGATAATGGATATCAGGTGCTTGTCAATTTGGTCGCAACATACTGTGAATCAACGCATGCATGTCAGTTTGACCTCAACGTATCGACAATCAACCCGTATGGCAACACAACATATATTCTGAATGTTACGCTAACATCCGGCGATGTTGTTTATTCATAGGGAGCAAAAACATTGTTATGGGCCATGTTGACGTCCTCATAAATGATAGTTGGACAATAAGATGGGCCTGGTTATTTGACAAGCGATTTCACAATAAGATGTGGGCAATCAAATTTGAACATCAAAAAAATGGAGCATTCCCATTTTTAGCGCTATCAATTTTTTGAAAATTCTTTTTTCGTAATTTGTTGAATTATAGTACAAACATTAGGGGAAAATGTGGCACAAATTGTAAATTTTGATCTTTTGAAAATGGTGACCTATTGAGATTTTAAACTTATTAAATTTTAGAAGCTTTACATAGGAAAACAAAGGCAGAGAACAAACATATGGATATGGGCCCCACACAGGAGAGAGAGGGGGGAGGGTGAAGAAGAGAGATGTGGATAACACAAGTGTGTAGGCCCTGCTCGCATCTCATGCAGCAACGTGCAATGCTAAATCGCTCACCTGCCTTGCTTTTTTCGAGAAAGCATGCATGTGTGGGCCCCTTCCCCGTCCCAACTATGCACTCAACACTCGACAACTGCCAAGGAGTCGCTTCGCCCGAACCTCTTGCACGTGCTTTACATACACAAATAATCCTGTAAACATTAAGTATTATGAATCCCTTTCCACAAATATATAAATTTATATTCTAGGTGTATATCATATCTTATCTCCTAACCACTTATATTCGATATTGAGAACGTTGGTTATCGATAGGTGTGTCCCGACACGGATTCACTCTGAGCATGCCAAATCCTTTGGCGTGGATTTGTGACTTGATGTGGCCATTGTAGTGGTGACTTAGTCATTGACAGCCATCTGATCATGGATCGAAGGACGAGATCCACTCTTGCACACTGTTTATAGACTTATTCACAACGATATAACGGTTTCACGTGTTGAAATCCACCACTTTCTTAACACCCATACTTGCATCTTATAAAGGTATTATATTGTTCTTCTCTTAGAAGAAAGAGGTCTATCTAGTTTAAAAAATTGCTAAATAATAGCCACAAACAAAACTTTAAAAAACAAAAAGGTAACGGTAAAACGAGAAACATTCACCGGCCATAATATCTAGCTACGAATAGCATCCACAAAATCTACATTTTTTTATTAACAGCTAAAACGTGATTTGAAATTAATAGCATTATTTACGAAAATACTAAATATCTTACGTTAGATTTTTAGGCATGACAAATCTAATATTTTTATGGCAACAAGGGGTTGTTTGTGAACGTGGAGCGAAGTGCGGGTACCTTTTTGCAAAATTGACACGGTTTACTTCAGATGCATGAGATGAAGATCTGATGGCTGTCAGTGAAGGATTACAAGAACACTGTCATCATCAACTCGGTTTTTTATAGAAGTAGAGATTTATGACGTCATGAAAATGGCCATTTTCTTTTGCAAGCATGAAAATTCCTGACAAAAAATCTGAACATGGCTAGGATTTGTCATGTTTGCTAAAAGAAAATTGCCATCCTTGTGACAACATAACTTTCATCTTAGGCATTCGATTTGCCATGCTAAAAATATCTCCGTTCGATTTGTAGCGAAATCCTTATTTTAACTTCCGCCCAGAAATAAACTTTATTTGAACTGTATTTATAAACTTTTGTGTTGAGATAGTGTGTTTTGATAGTAAGGATAGCTGTTTCGTAGTGGAGAAAATAGCTAGTTTACCAATCAAACTAGCGTGAATACAGATTAGGTCAGAAAAATCCATGAGTAACGTTCTGAGTTCAACAATTACTCCATAATTTTTCAAGGGCTTTCAAAGTCCGGTCACTTACAGTCCATCTTCGTGCTGATGTTCAGAAAACTCCAGGAGCAAACATAATTCAGCACAAGCTAACACATGGACAGTTTTGAGCAGTGTGGGCTTTCGTGCAGCCACGAACGACAGATACACCAAACCTAGAGCCATGTCTCCCTGTTATACATACGTCGCAAATGGCAGCCCGCGATTTGTTACCCCGCTGCCAACTATTGATATGATTGCTAATTATCAAATTCAGAGTTGATGAGACAGCAGCGCCTTTGGGATAAGTTATTTAGCACTATGCGCTGTAAATAAGAGGTGGAGCAGCAAAACTGAATCAAAGAGAAATAGAAAACCTTGTGCCAAGGAGCTTCACAAACCGCAGTCAAAGACGGCGCAATATTTGGGCAAATCAGGGAGAGTCATAGACGGGGCAAATCACATATAGTCAGAGACGAAGCAAATCAGAGAGTAATCACATATAGTCAGAGACGAAGCAAATCAGAGAGTAATCACATATAGTCAGAGACAAAGCAAATCAGAGTCAGAGACGTCGCAATATTTGGGAAAATAGTCAGAGACGAAGCAAATCAGAGTCAGAGACGTCGCAATATTTGGGCAAATCAAGGAGAGTCAGAGACGGCACAAAATTTGAGCAAGTCAGAGAGATTTCTGACGTTCTTCCATTAAACATGCACATAACAAGATGAAACGAAACCGCTACAGGAACACCACCGGACCACTACGAAGAACACTACGACATGGAACGCATCGATCTAAGCCTTGGTGGTCTTCTTGGGGGACTTGGTCGTCTTCTTAGGAGACTTGGGCTCCTTGCCCTCCTTCTCCGCGGTCCTCTTGGGGAGGAGCACCGGGTTGATCTTGGGGATCACGCCACCGTGCGCGATGGTGACGCCGGCCAGCAGCTTTCCGAGCTCCTCGTCGTTCCTGACAGCGAGCAGCAGGTGGCGCGGGATGATGCGGCTCTTCTTGTTGTCCTTGGCGGCGTTTCCGGCGAGCTCCAGCAGCTCGGCGGCGAGGTACTCGAGGACGGCGGCGAGGTAGACGGGGGCGCCGGTGCCGACGCGCTGGGCGTAGCGGCCCTTCTTGAGGTAGCGCCCGATGCGGCCGACGGGGAACTGGAGCCCGGCCTTGACGGAGCGCGTCACCGACTTCTTCCTGGGGCCGCCGGCCTTGCGCCCGGCCGCGCCCTTCTTGCCCTTGGCGCCAGCTCCGGTGCCTGAGACGTCCATTGCTTGCAGGTGATGCTCTTGGGGATCGGGGCGCGGAGGAGGATTGGTTTTGTGATGGGAGATTGGGATTGAGAGCTGTGATGGAAACTGCGGAGGGGCGGGGTTATTTAAACGGCGCGGAGGGCGGTGGTGGGCCCGTCGATCCGCGGACGCGGGCGTTGGGCCGTTGGATCGGGTGGGCCTTGGACGGCCGCGATGCGGTTTGGGAGGTGCGATCCGTGGGAGGCACGGTTGGACGAATCAGGTGCGAGGAAATTCTGGAGCCCGGAAATTTCTGCCCACAGGTTTCCCGCCTGCCAATTCGAGGCGTGGGCGCGTGATTGAAGTCGTTCATTTATCCTGAAGATTTGTCCCTCGAAACAATACTCTAGGTTGTTTTTTTTTACCGCACACATTATATTAATCAATAAACGGAGTACAATTATACATACATACGGAAACTATCAGAAGAACGGGACATGACAGGTGTCCAGAAAATTATTCAACAACAGCCCACCAAGGTTCAAGTCCTGATACTCGCAGTATTCCTTTATTTATTTCAGGATTTCCAACAATGCGCTTTCGATGGGAGGAGACGTTCCCGTCGACGACGAGGCGTCTACGGTGACTTCGTAAATCTCAAGATGATATGTCTGCTCAGTCTCTCACAGGTGCTTATAGGGGGAGGGTGTGCGCGTGTGCGTTCAAAGGGTGAGTGTATGCGCGTATATATGAGCGCTTGCGTCTGTACTGATGTTCAAAAAAAGGTGTCCAGAAATTATTCAAGGACCCTGAATATAAGAATATTACAAATAAGTCCCTTGAGGTCCCTGCAAACAACCAGATCTGAAACCGTCTTCGACCACCAGCGCCGCCGAGACGCACACCCAAGGAAGAGATGGAACACCGGAACACCAACAAACAAAAATCCAGGCCTGCGGCACAGCCTTGAGGGTGTTGAGAGCCGAAGATCAAACATGCAAAACAGGCAATTGGCGATATGCGCGTGTTGGTCGAGGATTTTCCCCACGCCGACCTGGATCCAGATTTGACGAATCTCGTCGTCGTTGCCAGTGAAGAACGCCAGATACGTCGCCATCGGGCCACCAACCTTGTACTAGCACCAAAGTATCCCACTTGCCGATGCTGCATTGAATGGCAACATCCACCAGCCACAGGAAACAAAAAGCTTACCGCTCTGAGTGAACGGCTTGCAAACGAGGCACCGCCGGAGAGAATGTCATCGTGGTGAGGAGAGATTGAAGCCATCTTATTTGAAGAAGCCCTAACCTCACCAAACTAGGCTACTGGACGAAGACGAGACCTAAATCTATGGACTAACTGGAAGAGAAACAAGAGCCCACCCTCTCCTCCAGCCGTTGGAGCAGCGAACGGAGTGGCGTGGAGATCGCTGCCTCACCGGCGTCTGAACAAGGTACGAACTGTCATTGCTCTATCGCCAAAAGGCAGGGCAAAGCAATTCCTGGGAGAGAGACATGCGCGCTTAACAATAGGTCGTTTCTTAATGTTATTCTTGGATGCAATTTTTGGTTCCAAAACTCTTCTCCAATACACAAATTGACAACCATGTTGGTAGAAACATTTTCGCTTCCAAAATTAAAAGTAAAAGAATTTGTGCACAAATAACAAGATTTCAATTGGATTCTCTGAAGGAAAAAGTAAGAATTTACCAAGCTATCGATTCTCTGCTCATTTAAAACAATAAAATGGAACTTACATACAATACCTCTTGTTGCATCCTTGTTGGATTGTACCTCATTTGATGACAAGAACTAGCACACGGGGAGCGGAAATGTTGGCAGGGATGTGTACTCGAATTATGGTGGTGGTGAGGACAATAAGTTGGGAGGGAGGTTTTAGGATTATGGCTCGGTGTTGCGTATGGGAGGAGTTGAGTTATGAAGCGGAAGTGATGAGACAATATTGTTGGGGCAAGGTTAGGGTGTGGGGTATTTATAGTCACTTGTACGATGGGTGGCGGCGGCAGGTAAGTCAAAGAACTAGGGTGCGACACTATAGCATAATAGTGAGTAAAGACATAAATGCCCCCCCACCAATAGAAAACGAGCCATTAGTCCTTGTTCCAGAGGGCCTTCAGTCCCTGTTGGGGATATAACTATTAGTATGACCCGCCAAAAGGAGCCGGGTTATACTTACAAGCATTCTTGAAGACAGAAGCTCAAGCTTGAAGACGGCGGCTTAGTAAAGGCCCAACGGCCCAGAGGTGACTTAAGGCCCGTAGTGTTAAACCGCCTTGATCATGTTACTTGTATTGTAAGGCAAGAAAGATTAAGAGACCGAGCCGGATACAATCTATAAGCCGGCTGGGACTCTGTAGAGCCGCTGGGCGTCGACCTCAGTATATAAGGGGACGACCCGGCGGCGGTTTAGGACACGAAACAACTTCTCGAGAGCTAGGTCAAGTGATTCTGCTTCCTGGTTATCAAGACATACATAATTCCAATCACAACTAGACGTAGGCTTTTACCTTCATCGTAAGGGGCCGAACTAGTATAAACCTCTCGTGTCTCTCGTCCTGATTAACCCCTTCAAGCTTCCTAGTTGCGATGGCTCCACGACTAAGTCCTTTCACTACGACATCTGACGTGACAATTCCACGACAGTTGGCGCCCACCATGGGGCCAGCGCACGGTGGATTTGAGTTCTTGAAGGGCAACTTCGAAGGGCTCAAGGGATACGCTGTGGGCCGGATGACAAAGAGTCGTCGCGGCAAGCTCTACATCGACGATGCAGGCTGGGGCCCCGAGGCCGGCTCAATTGAGTACGGGTACCAGGTCCCCTTCGGCGGAATCCACGTCTTCATCAGCAAGATCGGCGAGCCGGGCCCTGAGCCAGACATCTGCACCGACCTTGTCGAAACGGCTCAGCGTGCGAGACCCGCCCGATCTCTTCCGGCTATGAAGCGTGCCTTCGTGGGATGCATCCACGGAGGGGTCTCTAAAGGATCTGCCTCTGATGGTGAGGTGGCCATCTACTCTGACGGTGAGTCGTCCACTGATGAGACGGATTCATTGTACCAACTACAGGATGGCGGGCTCGGCGGCTCTTCCGATGGCAGCAGTATTCCGGATTGTCTTGAGCTGTCATGCAGGATCGGGATTTTCATGGCCGGCACCCAACCCATCCAAGACTCTGCAACTGCAGCAGCCATAACTTTCGGGTCAGCAGCAACTAGGGCAGGAGGTCCGGTGCGTTCACCGTCTCAGGTGTTAATGGATCTCATCGACAAGCTGACCACCCTATTAACTGCCGTAGTTAGCCCGGCGGATCAAGCCAGTCATGATGAAGAGGTGGCATAGTTAAAATTGGATATGGCACAAGCTAAGGAGGACCTGGCAGCAGAGAATGTTAGGATAACCATGGAGCGGGCGACTCTGGACGTTCAGGCTCAGCAGATCCAGGCGCACGCTTTCCAGCTTACGCAAGACCAGAACGCGGTTAATGAGGTCATGAGGAGAAGGCATCAGAAGACCCAGTCTCGACTTCCCCCGGTTTATGACCCTCAAAACCTTTTTAACACACCAGGAGCAGGGCCCAGTAACCCGCAGTGGCTTGTCCCGCAGATAGACAATCCGCCATGGCTCCCTCCGCGCACAGGGCCAGACCATGTTGCGACGCCCGAGGGCGGAGCACCGTTTCAGTCACCGGTGGTGGGACCTCCCCGTGTGAACATGGCACCACCTCAGTACGTACCAACCCCTCCGGGTCATTGCTCCAACCCATTGGAAAACATGATAGCAGCAACAACTCGATTGGCGGCTCTCCCAATTGATGGCGACTCTCCGACTGCGATTGAAACCCGCCGGGTCAAGGAACTTCTTCAGACGGCTTTAGTACAGCAGGAGGCGTACTCATACAGCCGGGACAGGATCCACTCGACCCCTCGTCCAAGCCGAAGCCCGAGTTACAGCAGGCACATGGATTCAGCGGCCGTATCAAGCAATGTTAGACGCCATGACCAGCCAGGTGGCGGTAACCCGCCACGTCATGAGGCCGTTAACTTGGTAGAACAAGAGAGACTACGACAAGAGGCTGAACGGGCGGCTGAACAAGCGGCTCAATTGACGGCTTATCAGCCATATCCGGTTTACTCGACTACTTCTATTGAGGCAGGTATAGCCACCCGGACTGGAGGAGTCCCGTGTCTAGTACCAGCTCTACGTAACGAGTGATTGCCCAAGGATTTTAAAGGACCAAGGAAGGTGTCGAATTATACAACCGACTTACAGCCCGGGGCATGGATTGAGAGCTACGAGATGGCTATGGAGCTGTTGGAGGTTTCTGATGCAGCAATGGCTAAGTACTTCACCATGATGTTGGATGGAACTGCCCGCACCTGGTTGAAAGGCCTGCCACCTAATTCAATCGGTTCATGGGCGGAGTTAAAGGCCCGGTTCATCCAGAACTTCAAAGACACGTGCAAGCAGCCCATGTCGATCGTGGATGTGACGAATTGTAAGCAGGAAGAGGGTGAGTCTACAACCCATTGGGTGCGCCGGGTTAAGGCCATAATACATTCATCTGATAAGATGGATGCCGGCTCTGCAGTCTTAATGTTGGAGAAGAATTGTCGTTTCTTACCTTTGAAGCAAAAGCTGGGGCGGCTCAAACATGAGTGCAATGATATGGGCACGCTGATGGCGGCTCTGGTCAAGTATGTCGATTTTGATAGTACCAAGGATCCCGAGTATGATGATGAGAAGACAGAGAAGGGAAAGAGGAACGGCAACGACAAGGGCTCTCAGCACAACCCGGCTAGTCAAGGAGGTAACAAATGTAAGGCTGACGGTAGTTTGGATTTTGCGGCTAACACCAATACGCAGGGTCATAACCAGCGGCGCAAGGGAAAGCCACCTCCTCGATCCAGCGGGTTAGGACCCACACTTGAGCAGTTATTGAATGAACCTTGTCCGAGACACGGTTCTAAAGAGAAGCCGGCTACACATTTGTGGAAGGACTTCACGGTTATGAATGCGTTC